GAACTGCCAGATGTGCAGGCTGGGTTTATAAGAGGCTGTGGTATTAGGGATAGTATAGCTAATGTTAGATGGATCTTGGCTGACAGCAGAAAGTACCAGCAGAATGTCTACTGACTACTCAAAGGCATTTGATTGTGTGGACCACCACAAACTATGGAAAACTTTGAAAAGAACAGGAATTCCAAAACACTTGACTATACTTCTGCGAAACCTATACTTGGACCAGGAGGGAGTTCGTCAGAACAGAGTAAGGAAACACTGCATGGTTCAAAATCAGAAAAGGTGTATGGCAGGAATGCATCCTATCTCAACACCTTTTCAATCTACATGCAGAATATATAATCTGGGAGGCTGGGTTCTATGTAGAGGAATGTGACCTCAGAATTGGAGACAGACTCATCAACATCCTGTGTTATGCAGATGACACAATCTTGCTTGCCAAAACTGAGGAAAACATGAGGCATTTGTTACAAAAGGTCAAGTACCAAAACCTTCAATATGGCTTGAAGCTCAACATCAAGAAAACAAAAATTCTCACCCCTGGCCTATGATGAAGAGATTGAAACTGTTAATAGCTTAAGTTTGCTTGGCATTGGCTCTTGGTATTAGTGGCCAGGAATTAAAAAAATGAGTTGCCATGGGGAAATCTGCCATCAGGGGCATCTCCAGAGTACTGAAGAGCAACAGTATCAGTCTGGAGACTAACGTACACCTGATTCAGGCCATGGTCTTTACAATTATTTGCTATGCATCAGAAAGATGGACAATGAATAGCAAAAAAGGAGAACTGATGCCTTTGAGCTGTGGTGCTGGAGAAGAGTACTGACTGACTCATGCACTGCTAGGAAAACAAACAGGCTCAACCTGGAGAGAATGAAACCAGGCTGCTCCTTGGAGACAAGGATTCTGAAGTTCCATGTGGCATACTTGGACATGTTGCAAGAAGGCACCAGTCCTTGGAAAGGGACATCATGCTTAGGAGAGTCGAGGGACAGTACAAGAGAGGAATATCCTTGATGAGATGGATGAATTCAGTGACTAGGATTATGGGGGTAAGTGTGTTGGAGACAATGAGGTTGGCTCAGGATAGAGCAGGGTTCAGAGCTATTGTACATAGGGTTGCTATGAGTAGCCAGCAACTTGATGGCAACAGTAACAATCTAACTTTTTGGTGATCTATTATAAAGGATTAACAAACCCACAGGGACAATAATAATTTGCTGGCAGTAAGAATCCCATTTGTTGACATGTAGCTTTAGGTGGATGGGTGATGGAAAAATGTTTTAGGGGCAGTTAAGGAAGGATAGAGTCCTCCGCGCTTGTGACATACCGTCCCAAGGGATAAGAGAAAGAGATGCAAGCTGGACAGTTTGCCAGAAGTGCAGAAAGTCATGCAAATTCTAGAGCCCTAGGAGAGTTGGGGATGAGGTCTGCTCTAACTCTGGCTAGGTAGAGCCAAGGAGACAACTGCCACAGAAGTGGCTGGTGATAAGACCTGGATTCATGTGCAGTTGGGAATTGGAAGTTACTGAAGGTAATGATAAAGGTGGAGTTTCCCCACCCTGCCCCCTTTAGAGTACAGCTGGAACCTCACAGTCCTCACCATAATGCATTTCCTAGCAAGTGGCCAATCAAAAGAAGCTTTAATTTTACTATAGCATTTTTCAAGAGAGCAGCATAAAGAATCAAATGAATCTTTACATCAGACATCATTTTCTTTTTCATTCTGTTTTCCTTAGCTTTTTTTTCCCCTCTTTAGCTTTTTAACACACTGTCAAGCTCAGAGAACTGTTAAGATTAAAAATTATCATAGATATCACATATAAGGTGACCACTTCTCAACAGTATCACTCAAAGTCCCATGCTCTGGTAAGTCAGCATCCTACACACAAAAATGGCCTTCAAGCTTAGTTCTTGCCCAGTCAAAAAGTCTTTAACAAACTGGCCAACATAACACAAATTCTGTCATAAGAAGATTAACTGTTTTATCAAGACAATAAGAAAATTTAAATGTGCTTTTCAGGTTTTTTCTCTTGTAGATCTAGACTCATAAATAAGTACAACTAGTGATTAGCATGTGACTTAGCTTACTTTAACTTCTGTCAACTTGTTTCCTTGTAAATGTAATAAGAGCAGAACACCAATGTCTTAGAGCTACTATAAATATTAAATGAAAAAAAAACAGAATTAAGGACCTATACAAATCCTAGTACAAAGTACTAAGTGAAAATTAACATTACTTTTAAACATGAGGATTACTTCTGGCTACGTGAATGAACAAAGAGAGAACATTTCCTGTTATATCAAGTTAACTAAATCTGCTTCATTTGTGTTTAGTCTACCAAACATTCATTCATTGCTGGGCAGTGTTCTATGATGCTCAGAATACAATGCCTTTGCTCTCAACAGCTCAAGCTTGTTGGGAGAACTAATTCCAATTCCATAAATGGAGTTACAGAGGCAAGACTTTTTCAGTGACTTAAACTGTTCCTGAGTTTTGGTCCTTTGCCACATTATTAGAAAGAAATACACCTGACAGATGACATAAATCTACTTGTCAGCAAAAAAAGTGCAGGGTAGTTTAACAGAACAGTAAATAATAAATGTTGGGAGAGGATGTGGCAACAGAGGCACTCTCACACATTGTTGGTGAGATTGTAAAATGGTACAACCACTCTGGAAGGCAGTTTGGTGCTTCCTCAAAAAGCTGAACACAGAAATTTCATATGACCCAGCTATTCCACTGCTTGGAATATACACTGAGAAAATGAGAACT